TTTTTAGTGTACATCACTGACAGGTGTCGAACTTCCAGCCCCCCTAAAGATCAACTATTGGGAAGTAGAAAACATTGAGCGGTCACAACCTCCGAGGGATATTTCCACGGCCAGCTATCTCGCTGCTTGTAGAAGTATTCCAATCAATGAAACGGCCAATCATCAGTGATGCCAACATATCTAGAGGTTCAATTATCAATTTGGAAACCAGCCTCACTCTGCCCAACATATTATACTGACCGATTGTCCTAGGCCAAAGTTGTGAGCCCAGATGCTCTTTCGATCGCATTACTGAGAGATTGCGATAGTTAATCAAACAGTTGCTTAGTCTAGGAGTCTCTGAATATTCTGACAGCATTCGTAAAATGGGGCATATACATCCTGACTTTATCCTTGGTTCTACTTTACGAGAGATATATGTGATGACAAGTCCTAATCCTCGGACTTAAAAACTTGAGACTCTAGATTTGATTATCGCGACTATTTTAGATACACAAATGCTATGGTTGGAAGACTGGTGGTTGAATATTTGAACATTTATCGCACCCTAGACGACCTCAACTCGTTAGTTTTAACCGATAAATAAAAGGAACCCCTAATGTAGTCGTCTCACCACCGACAAGCTCATGTTGTGAGTTGCATGACGCCACTAGAAGACAGCTTGGATGAGTTTGGAGCGGAGGAATCAACAGATGTCCAGACCCTTGCCTGAGCCTTCAAAACCCTCCGTTGCGACGACGGCAGCAGTTAAACCACAACCTCATGTCGTGGTCATGAGGACTCTATCAAAAAGCAGACATGCATACCTTCATTGGGTCCCGACGTGGGACACGGCAGCTCTATTCCATTTTCCGGCTGGTATGCAGGCAATGCTGAATTATAGAGGTAGAGTATCTTGAATGGTTTAATATAAAATTGCCCTTCTAGGTCCATAGATCCCTAGGGAAAGCTGCAATGGAATGTCGCTTTTCTGCCGACGTTATTAAGCCAGGTAATGTATTGGATAATCGCGGAGGCTTGGGGGAATACTACTGCCGGTAGTAGATCGGGAGCTTCCTCAAACTCATGAAACGCTCCCCAGAGTAGACGCTACGGCAGTACGACTCTGAAAATTCGGATGGAATCTCGCATAGGAGTAGGGTTCAAGCATGTACCACTGCAGCGGGGCCCTCATATAAATCCAACACTTTGCAAGTAGCAGATGCGATCATCTAGCAAAGGCTATGCAAATTTGATTCATCATCGGATCGCCCATGGCGAGAGACTTATTCGTGCTTGAGTAGAGTATCGGGTAAGTTACTGCATGATCTGCGTCCAGTCTAGAGACGTATTTTCGTATTTTTTGCATGCGTAGGTATGGCTTCATTCTGCTTATGCGTCGATGGCGAATGACTCTTGCTCTTCTTGAGATGGACTTAAGGCACAAACTATCTAGTTTACAGTGTGCTAATTATGCATGATTATCACTCCACAATGACGGTGCTATATTTATGACAAACATTTACCTAATTGGCTGCCCAAGGGCCAATAGCCAATATAGGAGGACAGCCTCCATGTCCTCCATCGGAACCTGAGCGGAGCCTTGAGCAGTATTGCCACACAGATGAGGAGCGAACACATTGAGATCAAATCACAACTCTACCGAAAAGTAGTATCCGGGGTCAACAGAGTGGGGTACAAACGTAGATGTCCGTCTCGAAAGCTTAGGTAAGCGACAACTACTTGCCCAGAATAGTCAAAACAGAAAGGAGAAGGTTGGGGAACAGTACGAGATATGCCGCTCGAGGCAGGTAGTGCACACAGAACGAATGGCTAATCAGTTTGCACTAGGTTGAGTAGTTGAAGCCGTGTTGAACGAAAGCAGAAAGAACCCCAGCCAGAATCGGCACTGGACACGGCAATAACATTGCAATTTCTCAAAGTAATTTTGAAGGATACTGATCTTACTTGCCTAGGTGAGGGGTTTTCAGCACGAGAGGATCCCGCCGTGCAGATAATTTAGTTTGTAGTTGGCTGCGGGGACCCATACGACGCCAGTGGGGTTCATTGAGCATAAACGAAAATCTCACATGGTGTGCGAGCGCGTCGCTATGCGTTGGCAGATCTGGATGGTCAGACTAGACCGCATGGTGTGGCTGACAGTTACGCCGGACGCCAATACTTGACCTGAGGCAGCCAACTCGGCATGTTTTGCTGAAGATAACATGACAATCATGCCGGGCCAGAAGGACTCGTGTGAGTTTCGAAGCAGTACATGGCTGACATAGATATCATGGGCCCTGCCCCTGGTCTGATGGCCCTCAGGATTGGGGCCAAGGGGTAATTTCGGATTCATATCCACAGGGCGCAATGAGGGCATCAGGTGTGGATTCCAGAGCCCGACTCCGTCTCAACTTATTCTGATCCATTCCCCTGAGCCCCTCTGATAGGCTGACTTTGTATTGTATGAAGCTCGCCGTAAATTGCGCCGGCAGACTCTCTATCACTATAAAATATTGCATTCGATGTGGAAATGGAAATTCATGTTACTTGCAGCCATGCGATTCTACCCAGAGAGTACAGGCGAAGGTATAACGCAGCTATGGCTGGATGGTGCTGTGGTACATTGTCTGAGCTGGTCTCCCAAGTTGATTCTGGATAGCTCGCACACACATCCCACCCGAGACTGGAGATGGCTGCCTCCGATCCAGGGAGACCAAATAAAATTTGTCGCGGCGCTGGTGTCTATGGATGACGAAGGCCCGCTCGAATAATCAAAGGTTTTGTAACGTCCCCATGATGGGTGTTCACGGGAGAGGGTCGACCACTTGCATAGGCAAACGCACCTCATTAGAATTTGCGAATGAAACCCAGGAAAAACAAGAATAAAATCTAGAGCGTGAATGTCTCTATCGGCAAAAGATTCAACCCACATGTACACATAGCGCTGATCATGTCTACTAACCATATAGCTGAATACACAGTAAATGATACAAAAAAGATCTCCCACAAGGCTCTACGAGACCCGATGTGTTTTTTGCATATCAGTATGCTCTCTCAGCCTAAGACCATTTAAAATATGTAGTTCTGCTCTAGTGTCAGTTTAAGGATAGCTATGAGAATAATGTGTCACCTTCTGTACAGTACCACTCCTCAAGATCGTTCGTTTATTCATACTCTCGGAGGAGGCTTTAGCCCTTCATTATATCCCTCTATAGCCAACGAAATGATGGTCATTTGCGGGTGTATGATAACCGGGAAGCCCCTCTGAATGCGGGGCTCTTCTGCTACCGAAATCAGCACCAAGTCCCAAGACATAGCTTCCCTTTGAAACCTTCAAAGGACTATTTGTTCTGTTCTATTTTTTTACATGCTAGGTACATGTCACCTACAGCAGTCCTACTTGAGCTTTAGCACGAGTGGGCCCGGGTCGGATCAGGTTAAGTACCGTGAGGTATAGATAAACCTTGTCCCATCTAAATGACCGAAGCTCTTCAGGCTCCACCTATGTGTTGAATCATACCAAGCCTAACCGTCCGGAAACCCGCTGTATGAACGCCGTAGCGTAATTTCCTCCTTAGCCTCAGCCACCACGCGCCCGAGCCCTTGATATCTGTCGGTAAAAGGATCACATTTGGGTAGTGTGAATTGTTCTATGTATTTGCGATATTCAGGTTGTCGTTAGGACACTGGCAGGGGTCTGATTTAGCTCATTAGCGAGGCGCTTGGAGTAGAGGAAGGAAGGGGAGATGGAGGAGGAAAAGGAGAGACAACGTTTTATGTATTTCGAGATACCAGTTAATTGACATTATTCACCGACTTCGTGACAGACAGCTGACTTCGTGACGGCACCCAATTTGTATTACTTCGTGTTTTACCAACAACATCCTCATTGACTCCGAAATATAAATGCCGTCCAAGATCTCATCGTTGCTCTAGCATTGCACCTTCATATTGTACCGCTGGGTTGTTGTTGTCGTCATTAGGGATTTGTGTAATCCCCTCGGTGTATCTTCCCTTTTCTCTCTTCCTTGTACAAGCTCAGTTTCCATCATGACTATCCTCATTAGGGTGTGGGTAGGTAGGTTTTGTGTTTGTGTGTTTTTATTGTACTACTTGAGTCTATGACTATCTAGCACATTGGGCTCCTCTCTGACCCAGGCCACACCTTGTACAGTGCTCCTATCCTCTTTTGTTACTTGAAAGATCATTGATATATTCCCCTTGATGAATAGCCATTCAGCTCAGTATTTACCCGTGGAATTCAGCCACCTTTTCCACGGAACCTTCTACCCAAAAAAAATAAAAATGGTAGCAATGGAAACTGCGTGCGCGGGAAAAAGTCTCAAAAAACCTGCAGCCCCAGCCAGGCGAGGCCTAGACACCGGGACCACATGAGGTGCGCATATTCATCTATATCTCCCTTCTTTGTAACATTAGAGGTCGACTTGATCCAATCCTCCATCTCCGTATCGGGTGCTGGGTACGCTCCGGAAACTCATCGGATGGCTTTTCCTCCATGATCAAGGGTGGGTGACGAGTAGGGCTCCGACCCTACCATCTGATCTGATCGTGGTTAGCTTCATGATTATGGTGATAGGGGAATGTGTTGAGAGACGAAGACGATACAGACCGCGAAAGCGATTGGGAATCCTCTTCGAAGTGAGGACTTTGTTACTCAATCTCGGCTCTGCAGACTCTACAGTGAGAGCTGGAGGTTCGTAGGGGACACCACTGACAGGTGTTGAGAATAGTCCCCCTGTCCCAACGAGTAGAACGTGTGAAAAAATAAATTGAGACCATAAATTGAGACCATAAATTGAATCATTATTTTCGAATTAACTCTGCGGCATGGATAACTCAAATTTACAGAATCATTTGATATGTACATAAGATCCTGATCACGTGTTTAGGCTAGATACTTGGATACATATTATCTTAGTTTTCCTGCTCCAACTCCGACTGTAATCCAAAACGTCCAACAAATGAAATTCGCTGAAAGGAGAGTGTCTAAAACTGGATCATGGGTTGTAACAATACTTGGCAAGACACGCAGAGCAGGCCTCTGGTAGTTTCTGTTTTGTATTCATCATCAGCGCGCAGCCGAGACAGACTGGCCAGTCCTCTTGATTGCCCTGAGTTGCGATTTGATTCCCGTTTCGAATCATGGCCTCTGTACTTTTAGGTGAAAAGTTAAGTTTGAATGTCGAGACCCCTGAATCATAGGTATATATGTTATTGGGTAAATAAACGAGTGTTGTCTTGCCTGGATCGCCGCATCCAAAGATGGTAGCTCGAGTATTAAGCCCTTTTGACACGAAAATCTCAGGAGATGGTATGAATGGCATACGAGATAATCCGGCTTCAAAAGAATGGATATAGGACGTTTCGATCCGAGTTCCATTCGGGTATCGTCCATCGAAGTCACCGCTGTTATCATTCACCAATATAACGTCAACTTTGCGGGCTGGCTGTAGCAATGGGCTAATAGGATTATTTCGTAGGGTCAGACCACTATCTACCAGCTTCAGAATTTCTTGGTCGGAAATTGGGTTTTCGAGGCTGGTATCTGCCGTTGGCGAGGTATAATTGTAAAATGGATTTCTATACATAGCCAGCATATCATTGGTCTCAGGCTTAGGAATTCGGACTATATATGATGCAACACGATTGATTGCAGAGCGGAAACGACCTGGAGGCTTGTAATCAGGGGAACAGATTGTACCGAGTATATTACTCGAGGTTGCCATGAGAAATCCAAGATCATCGTAATTCCTTACACAATCGTTCAGTGGATTCCCGTTATTTATTTGGGTTCCAAGATACTCGCTCGGAGTGAATGCGTTGATATTACGATCCCAACTACCAAATTCAAAGGGAGTAAACTCATAAGTTGTAGAGTTATTATCGACCCTACATTTATCGAGCACGCTTTCAGTACCCAAGGCAGTTATTATAGGAATCGGTGCGGAATGTGAAGTAAAATTAGACATACTTGCGATGGAAGAAAGAGTGGTTGAGGAGTCATCAAATTTCCCGAGAAATTGGCGGGTTAAAAGTCGGCCGAAGCGATCAACGAGAGACGTATTGAAGCCAGCAGCCTGTTTTTCCAAGACATCAGTCACCACTTTATCTTCGTGGTATGAAAATACTAGGTTCTTGGGGGCGAAGTAGTTGGATTTGAAAGAGTTTTTCCAAATTTTTTCCTTTAGGTGGCTGATAGTCGGATAGTTATTTCCGGCAATCGAGAATACCATCCATCCACCACCTGACAAGCCGGAGTGGTATGTGAGAGCTTGGTATAGACCGCTAACGCTCGAGTTAGAATCTCGTGAGTCCAAGGCCTGAACTACGCCTGCACCTGAAAGTAGTGATCGATAGCCACCACCACTAGTAGCAAGTGCAATCTACACATGATCAGCGTGGATTATGTTTGACGTGAAATCATCTTCCTTACAGTAGGCAATTCTTCCGCTCCGAACCCTGGATCTGTCTTCTTCAACCATTTTCTGAGAGCTTCATCCGCTTGCAATTTCCGCGCCAAGCGGTATGCTTCTTCGTTGTCAGAAAGGTTCCCTCCGGGCCTGACAAGTGGCGTCGTTGGACAATCACATAGCTTAGGCGCATATCCAGCTCGCACTGATGGAAATCCTAAGCTTGATATCAAGAATATAAGACATGGATTTATCATTTGAAGGATAAACGTCTTATTTAGCGGATAACTTTTTCTGGGATAAGATAATAATATCCGTAGGTTACTGACGGAGATTTTTGCTGTTGCTGCAATCTACATTTTCTTTTTTGAGGAGACTATGGAATATATAAAATGAGAAAGCTCTTTGGGATTTCGATATACCAGGGTTGGAGTTTGATTAGGACAGAATCATGTATCTGTTTTTTGGTTGAATTTGACCCAGTTTAAGCGTTGAGTCATGAATAGATTTAATATTACGAATCATATGCCTCTTAGAAGACTTCTTCTGACCTAGATCCGTCCCAAGTCGATGAGATTGTTAGCCCAACTTGAAACTGTCAAGGAAGAGCTCATGACTCGAGGTTGTGGGTGTGGAGTAGCAGGAGTTCTCTGCATTTCCAGCGCTGACAGAACGTGTATGTTGTGTGGTTTCAGTAAACTATTAGAAAGTAACTTTTCTGGACAGGCACGACGTTAAATTTCATTAATCAATCGGTTAGAAGTTAATTTCATTGTATGGAACTCCGTGTTATATGGACTAAGATGATGAGCATGTGAATCAGCCGAACTATTAGCATCAGTTCCCTTACGCGAAACTATGCTATTTTTCGGAGGGCAAGACTGATTACCTGTACGCGTTGTCCTTTTCGAGCCTGGGAGTTATATATTCTCCCAGAGCCAAGTACAGCCAAATTTCGCAATACTCAAAAAGTTGGCCCACGAGGAAGTGATTCGAAATACTCCACCACGTCAATTTTTCACTCCCGAAGAGTCCGACTTACAACTAAGCCTCATCAAGTCTACAAGTGCGACCTAGTTCATCCTCATTCCAATGATCACACCTCTTGTCGACTTTCTCTGGCCTCAGCTGGTCGCCAAATACACGCCCACGCCGATATTTACACCTGACGAAGGAATCAAAGCGTAGCGCACAAATCTGGGAGAATATTTTTTGGGATGGGCGCGAGAGGATTCAGGACAAGTGCACAAGATGATGCAAAGAAAAGATGTAATTTTGATGGGCGCGAATTTTGGAATTTTGGCAAGAGTTTTACGAATTGAGCTTTGTGTGCCCCAAGACTTCGATTGCAGGATTGCAGGTGACACTATAAAAACAAGCCGACGATGGAAGATGTTGTGGTTCGCCTCCTGGTGGTGTTCTCCGATATAGTCTGAGTAGCCTGGGCACCTAGTCCGCTTGGGAAGGAGACATCTCAGACCATATTTCGCGCGGAGAAAAGTTGATGGATGATGGAGGCATGTCTGGATAACTCTAGGTTTTTGAGACGTTCCCCTGGATGGATATTCGCGGATGAGAGTTGACTTGAGGTGAAAAAAGCCATCATAACTTCGCAGCGGCACTTGCAAATGGAATCCGAGGCATGAGTGCTCTTCTTTTATATTGAATCATCTTTTCTTTAATTTTTCTCCGATATTGTATCATAGCTTGATAGCTGCAAACGCAATTAAGAACTTTTGCAAATTAACTCGGCCCACAAAATCTGCAGCTGCGGAAATCTTTAATTCTCCACACGCTTTCTACACTGTAAACAAGGCTTGTCCCTCACTGTCCATGAGAGCAAAGTGTAAAGTTAAATAGTTGGAACTTCAAACATGTAGCTAGTATATTATTTATAGATTCTAGGAGCCCTTAATAGTCATTGACTCAGTTAGAACTATAACACAAATCTAATCTAATCTACACTGTAAGCTGATCATACACAGACCACTCAAAGCACCTGGGGGCTGCTCAGACAGAATTAAGTTCTTTCCTGGCACTCCCACTGGAGCATCAAAACTTGTGCAATGGCTGGATAATACAAAGTTCTTCACTGTAACCTACCCAAGGATTCCTTCTGTACTGTCAGTGGACGACGCTTATCGGCAGTTCAATGCCCATGCGTAAGCGTAGTCTAACCCCAACTCTTCTCACCCCGAGTAAGGAAAAAACACTGGTGTTGTCAACTTTCTTTCCTTTTCCATCTTTATTTTCATTTGAGCATAACAAATGAATTTTCTTCCCGCTTTCGTTACTGCCCATCTCCTTTTGGATTGGGGAAGTTGGGAGCCTCAAACTCCCAGAGCAGTGTGGACACTAGTAAGTTAATTGAGACTGTTATCTCCCGGGACTCACGCAATTAAATTAATGGGGGGGTCGATATCGAAGTCTAAGTTAAGCAGAAGTTTGTCTGGCCTTTCCTCAATCGACTATTACGCTCTTTATACAACCTATTCTATTTCTCTGAGTGGCGATCTCGTTCACCTCCACTAGTAGGGGGACTATTCTAAACATCTGTCGGTGGTGTCCCCTTCGAACCTCCAGCTCTCACTGTAGTCTGCAGAGCCGAGATTGAGTAACAAAGTTCTCACTTCGACGAGGATTCCCAATCGCTTTAGCGGTCTGTATCGTCTTCATATCTCAATACATTCTCCTATTACCATAATCATGAAGCTAACCACGATCAGATCAGAAGGTAGAGTCGGAGCCCTACTCATCATCAACCCTTGATCATGGAGGAGGTGCCATCCGACGAGTTTCTGGAACGTAACTAGCACCGGATACGGAGACGGTGGATTGGATCAAGTCGACCTCAACTGTTACAAAGAAGGGAGATATAGATGTAAATGCGCACCTCATGTGGTCCCGGTGTCTAGGCCTAGCCTGGCTGGGGCTGCAGGTTTTTTGAGACTTTTTCCCACGCACGCAGTTTCCATCGCTACTATTTTTTTTTTTTTTTGGGTAGAAGGCTTCGCGGAAAAGGTGGCCGAATCCCACGGGTAAATACTGAGCTGAATGGTAATCATCACGGGCAATCTATCAACGGTTTTCAAGTAACAAAAGAGAATAGAAGCACTGTACATGGTGTGGCCTGGGTCAGAGAGGAGCCTAATGTGCTAGATAGTCATAGACTCAAGTAGTACAATAAAAAACATCATTCCCCTACTAGCAATATGACATCGCCCGTACCTCGTCCCCAGCTCCTAACTGTTAGAGCTTTGGGATCCTTTCTCCCATTAGGGACTAGTACATGTTTTCATTAGTTAGACTTAAATTTAAAACAATCAAATAATCAAGCGAAGGAGCCGGCGAAGACGAATTCTTGACCTTCCAGTAGTGCCGGTGTAATCGCCCAGCATGCTTTGAATATCTGGGTTGTCCGGAAGAATCGCATCCGAATCGAAGTGTAAAACAACCTCAAACATATCTAAAGTCGACGACTTCTTGTCAGTGTCAGACCTATCATTCTCACGCGAGCTCTCTACCTCAATATTACTACATCACCTCGCCTCAAATACCGATAATGGCGTTACTCCAATTACAATCGGGTATTTGCCTCATCAAAAAACCGGCCATTTCCCACTACACATTTACGATGCTATGTATACCCGCGAGGAGAAAATCAAGTCGTAATCTATAAAGCTCGGGTCTTGGTCTATGGGGGATCGTTACTCTAATAGGGCTTCACATCTTGAGGTAGAACAGGCAGCTGGGACATGGAACGAACGAGGGAGGAGGTCACAAATGGGCATGCTGGGACGCACATTTTTCGATTGTCTTCGACTTACGAGTGTCTGTGGGCGCAGAGGCAGCAATTTTGAATAGTGCAACAGACACTCTAAAAACAGGCAACGATGAAAGGTGTTTAGGCCCGCCTTCTGGTCCTCATCTCCCCGAATTAAGGTCTGGGTAGCCTGGATACCTACCTCAGTCGAGAAAGGGAGGACTGTGAGGCCATATCTTGCGCTGCGTCTATGTACAAAATGATAAAGGCATGCTAGGGTAGCCAAATTTTTCCCGTTTTCCCTTTTTGGTGGAGATTAAAGGTTGAGGAAAGGATGAAAGTCCCTAGCTCAAAAGTTTCGAGTGGTATCAGCGAATGCACCCACTACATGAGTGGTCCAAATGTCAAACTCAGTTATTGTCACTTATAGGCGTCGGGGAAAGACTAGTCTTCCGTATCATGCTCTTTTTGTGCAGGGCTTGTGCCTGTCACGGATAAATATACATTCGTTCAATCACGACAAACCCATAGTTTAAGGCTAAAACTAGATTATTTTATAGCTGGTGAATGTATGAATAATCATGAATCTGGCTAGTAAGGCTTGCACATTTTTACCTTCCACGATAATAATAGTCTTCATGGCCAAGTAGCACCGATTTCAACAGTTTATGCGGCTCGCCGCTTACATTACTCGCTGAATACTGACTAACGCGCATACCGTCCAGACAGTGCACGGCTCGTAACTAGGCGAGTTGTCTAATTCAATACTAGAGGTTCCATGTTCTGTATCAACCAGGACATGATCTGTATTTCCAACAATGAATTTATTTAGCGCAATGAGGACTTGAGGAGTGAGAGCGACGAGTTTCCTTTTTTTTCATAGTGTATTCAGCCATCCAGCTATGCCTCATTTTTCACGTCATGTTCGTCGCTCAGACCCCAACCTAGATCTACTATTCCTAATTTCTTATTAGTTCCCCTTGTGTGCTACCATGCACTTGAATGTGTCCGAATAATGGAGTAGAGCTTCCTTTCCATTCTGTTCTCCAAATAGAACTGAAAGTGTTTTCGGCTCTACGCCATGAAATTATCTGTTTTTTCGATCTCGGAATTTTGGAAAATATAGCAACAGGTGGTGCACATTCTGCCTCTGTCTCCAACAAAAATTGCACATGTGCCACTCAATTTTCCAAACTGACGCAGATAGACTTTTGTATTCCGGCCCCAAGCCCCGCATGGATGAATCCCGACTCGGTCTCCCTACGGCCATCTTGAAATTTGAAAAGTTTGAAAGACTTCGCTGGTTGGTCAGAGCCTAGATCCTATAGCACTTGCCAAATACTTTAGCTTTTCGACTAGCATCCTCGTGCTAAAGCTCCAGGTTCCAGCCTTTGGGAGAGTCACTGCGCCTACGTATATCTAAACATATCTTGTCTTTCATTATCATCATTTTACACTCTTCCAGACTGCTAGTTTCCAATTACGTTCTATTCA